ACCACCCAGCACGTTCACAAAAACCTCCAAGGAGATCCTATGTTACAAACTGCCCAGAGTTATATCTGATGTCAGCCACAAAATTGTCTGTGGCATGCTCTACGTTTCTCCCACCATCCACAGCAGCTAACAACACAGACGGGTCCTCATTATTTCAGTCAACATAGAAAGGCTCTTTGGCATCACTGGAGGGCATTCTCAACACTGGCATCAAATCGGTAACGTGGGGTCCACAGTCTTGCAATAAGGTCATTGAATCATGATATTTCTAAATTTGGAAGGCACCCATACGGATAACTGGGTCCGACTTCTGCTCCTCACAGGACTACCTGAAACTAAACCATCAATTTGGAGAGCAACATCCAAACACTCCTTGAACTCTGACAGGCAACAGAACAGACATTGCCCTTTCACCCTGAGAGATGTCAAGGTGCAGCTAAACCAAGCTTGGACTCTGTGATCAGGATACAGCCTCATGCTCCAGAGAGGCCAGTAGTAAACAGCTACCCTCACAATGCTGAGGTGAAACCCAATTCTAACATGCCTGCCCTTCTGGAAAAGGTGCCAGTATTCCCTCATTGAGTCTGTAGGCAATTATAGGAGATCCACATCATGAGTCCTCCCAGTGAAGTTTACCGAGCTGTCCATAAACCCACTCTGAATCCTCCCCAGGAAGCCCTGACAATGCAGCTGTAGCAATTCCTAGCCACCCTGGGCAGAGCACTGGATGCAAACATGGACCCTGTAAATACCCCCTATACAACCTAGGAACACACTGTCAGAGGCAGGAGGAAATGAATGAATTTTTTCTTTTCAGTCTTCAAGTACTGCACCCACTGGCAGATATCCCATGTTCCAAAGATGGTCCTGTCACTCCAAATTCATCTTTTGGATCAGGAATTTCTGTCAATTATGGGGTAATCAATCACAGAGGGTAAGGCTCTGGCAAGTTAATAGAATCATAGAATGGTTTGAGTTGGAAAGGACCTTAAAAATCACCTAGTTCCAACCCCCTGCCATGGGCAGGGACACCTTCCACCAGACCAGGCTGCTCAAAGCCCCGTCCAACCTGGCCTTGAACACTGCCAGGGAGGGGGCAGCCACAGCTTCTCTGGGCAATCTGTTCCAGTGCCTCACCACCCTCACAGGAAAGAATTTCTTCCTTACACCTAACCTAAATCTACCCTCTCAGTTTAAAACTGTTACCCCTTATCCTATCAGTACACTCTCTAAATAAAGAGTCCCTCCATCTTTCCTGTCAGCCCCCTTTAAGTACTGGAAGGCCACTATAAGGCCTCCCCAGAATCTTTTTTTCTCCAGGCTGAACAACTCCAACTCTCTCAGTCCAGTCTCATAAGGGAGGTGCTCCAGCCCCTCATCATCTTCATGGCCCTCCTCATGTCCTTCTTACGCTGGGAGCCCCAGAACTGGACACAACACTCCAGGTGAAGTCTCATGACAGCACAGTAGAGGGGCAGAATCACCTCCCTCATCCTGCTGGTCACACTTCTGCACACATTGCAGCCCAGGATACGGTTGTCTTTCTGAGCTGCGAGTGGACATTGCTGGCTCATAGTCAGTTTTTCCATCCGCTAATATCCCCAGACATTCTCCACAGGGCTTCTCTCAATCCACTCATCACCCAGCCTGTATCTGTGCTTGGGATTGCCCTGACCGACATGCAGGACCTTGCACTTGGCCTTGTTGATTCATGAGGTTTGCACAGGCCCACCTCTCAAGCCCGTCCAGGTCTCTCTGGATGCCATCCCTTCCCTGCAGCATGTTGACCACACCACACAGCTTGGTGTTGGCAAACTCACTGAGGGTGCACTCAATCCCACTGTCCATGTCTCCAACAAAGATGTTAAACAGTGCTGGTCCCAATACCAACCCCTGAGGAACGTCACTCACCACTGCTCTCCGCTTGGACATCAAGCAACGGCAACTCTTTGAGTGTGACTATCTAGCCATTTCCTTATCCACCAAATGGTCCATCCAACAAATCCATGTCTCTCCAATTTAAAGACAAGGATGTTGTGCGGGACAGTGTCAAATGCTTTGCATGAGTCCAGAAAGAGCAACTGATGTCATGTACCCTTCTCCACCAATGCTGTAATCCTGTTGTAGAAGGCCACCAAATATGTCAGGCATGATTTGCCCTTAGTGAAACCATGTTGCTTGTCCCCAATCACCTCTTTATTCTCCATGTGCTGCTCCATGATTTTACTGTGCACAGAAGTGAGACTGACTGGCTGGTAGTTCCCCAGGTCTTCCTTTTTTCCCTTTGTAAAAATGGAGGTTATGTTTTCCCTTTTCCAGTCAGCAGGAACTTCACCAGACTGCCACTGTTTCTCAAATATGATGGCTTAGCTACTTCATCTGCCAGCTCCCTCAGGACCTGCAGATGCATCTCATCAAGTCCCATGGGCTTGTGCACCTGATCTTCTACTACAGTGGGTGGTCCTTCATTCTCCCAGTCCCTGCATTTGTCTTCTGTGTCTTGGGTTGTGTGGCTGGAGTCCTTGACAGTGAAGACAGAGGCAAAAAGTCATTGAGTACCTCAGCCTTCCCCATATTATGGTAACCAAGTCTCCCATTTCCATGTGAAGAGGGCCCACATTTTCTCCAATCTTTCTTTTACTACTCACACATATAGAAGCTTTTCTTGTTGCCCTTGATGTCCCTGGCCAGATTTAATTCTTTCAGGGCTTTGGCCTTCCTAACGTGATCCCTGGCTGCTTCACAGTTTCTCTTTATCACTCCCAGGCTACTGTCCTTGCTTCCATCCTCTGTAGGCTTCCTTTTTGTGTTTGAGCTTGTCCAGGAGCTCCTTGTTCATACATTCAGGCCTCCTAGTGGTCTTACCTGACTACCTCTTTGTCAGTACACATCGCTCCTGAGCTTGGAAGAGATGATCCTTGAATATTTACCAGTATTCTTGGCCCCTCTTCCCTCCAGGGCTTTATTCCATGCTACGTGGCAAAGCAGATCCCTCAAGAGACCAAAGTCTGCTCTTCTGAATTCCAGGGTAGTGAGCTTGCTGCATGACCTCCTCGCTGCCCTCAGAATCTTGAACACCACCGTTTCATGGTCACTGCAGCCAAGGCTGCCCTTGCACTTCACACTCCTCACCAGCCCTGCTGGCACTGCCCCCCCCCCCCTTGGTGAGAAAAGGGTCCAGCATAGCAGCATAGCACCTTTCCTCGTTGGCTCCTCTATCACTTGGAGAATGAAGTTACCATCAATGCATTCCAGGAACCTCCTGGTTGCTTATGCCCTGATGTGTTGTCCCTCCAATAGATATCACTGTGATTGAGGTCCCCCATGAGGACCAGGGCTTGTGAACATGAGGCTGCTCCTGTCTGTCTACAGAGGTTCTCATCTGCTTAGTCTTCCTGGTCAGGTGGCCTGTAGCAGACCCCCACTATAACATCTCTTGTCTCTGCCTTCCCTTTAATATTGACTCATAAGCTCTTTGTCAGCTCCTCATCCATCCCCATGCAGAGCTCCATGCACTCCAGCTGGTCACTGAAATGGAGGGCAACACTCCCTCCTCCTCTCCCCTGCGTGTCCTTCCTAAAGAGCCTGTATCCTTCCATTCCAACATTCTAGTCGTAGGAGTCATCCCACCACACCTCCACAATGTCAGAAAGACTGTAGCCAAGCAAAGCATGTGCAAGTCTCTAGCTCCTCTTGTTTATTCCCCATGCTACTTTCGTTTGCACAGAGGCAAGTTGGTCCCCAATGAAGAGGACTTACTGGCTGGAATTCCTTTGTGTTGCTCTTCTTCAAGATATTCAAGTTCCTCATCTTATTTTTTTCTTAGAGGAAAAAGGGTTCAAAAGGAATAGTTTCAGTTTGCTTGAGACATCCTCACAGATCAGCTGCTGCATCCAGAGAAAAAAGTCCAGAAGCAACAGAGTTGCAGTGGACATTGCCAAACTCATATGAGAATATGATGGGGCACCAAACACCTGGTCACCTAGTTACCCTAAACATCACATGCAGGAATAGAAACAAGGATCTGTCACATGTGACACTGGTAGTTGGGGAACTGATGTAGGAATTAAGATGCTGTCAACCCCTGGAACAACACTGTGGAATGACAATACTGTACTTCCTAGGGAGGTTTGCAGTTAAAGAAACCCTGTCTCTGGGACGGATTTTCTTTGAAAAACTTTAGTCTGTAAGTATGGTGACAATGTTCAGCACAGGGGACCAAATAAAATCCAAACTGCAAGTGAAGATGAGAGGAACCTCAATAACATCTTTGATCTACTGAACTGCTCTTATACCAAATTACTTGCTTGTGGAGAAATATGCTCTATTTTCATGGGAAGAAGGAGAAAAACTGTTGAACTACTACAGAATAGTAAATAACTGTATAATTTGTAAACTTCCCTCCAGAAAAGCAGCACCCTAAGGAATCGTCAAGTGAAATTCTCCCTAAATCTTTATGATGTAATCAGAAGCCCATTCCTACAGTAGTTACTGTTACATTTATGTTTACTACTGAATAGAACAAATAGATATTGCATTCAAACCCAAGACTCAAACTGAGCACTCAAAAGATTCTGCTGGTTCTAAAGCAACAAGTATTGTTGATCTAAATCACACTTGAAGACTCTGCTGCAATAAAATCTATTGGCATTCAATTCCAGCATCCCTAATGAACTGAAAGAATGAGTGAATTTATTATAGAGAAACAGAGGTAATTGACTGAAATCAATAGCAAAATTTCTAAATCGTTTCAATATAATTATTTCATCCACATTTTAAGCACGTGTGTGTATACATTTCATACACTTGTATTAAAAATGTAAACATATAAACACAGCCATATGTATGTAAAACCATTTAGTTAGCATCATCTACAAAAATATAACTATGATGAATATCAACAAAACATACTGAAAGATATTTTGATTTAAAATCAAAATTATGATTAAGAACAATGTGACTATTATGAGAAACAGAATTTCATAAAAAGTAAAACATACCTGATAAAAATTGGGCCAGAACGTGCTAATTGCCAGTTCTGCTCTGTTCCAAGTAGCAGTGATAGATGTGTTCCAGATCGGGTTACCAATAGGACCATCATTAACTTTCACATATATATTCAAAGTGCCAGGGCTAGATCCACTCTTGCTTGAAACGTAATAGTGGAAATCAATACAATGTGTATCATTTTCTTTCAGATGGGGCAGCAGGAGGTGAGCTTTCTGTCCTGCAAATCTCCCAGATGTATTCACCAACATGAAGGAACCTGCAAAATAAAGTCACTAGTTCAATTTCTTCTTTATTTTATTTTCCTCTCCCTAATATTGTGATCTGTAATTAAAGGGTCATGAAGAAAAGAAACCATTTTGTTTTGCTTCTGCTAACATAATAGTAATTTGTATTTGGTAGGCACTTAATCTTAAATTAGTTTTGAGAACCTCATGATTTTTCTTCAAAGCTAGTAAATATTAGAATCTTTATTTTACGGTTGAAGAAAGAAAGAGACAAACCAAAAAAACCTGCTGAAGTGATCTGCACTGCACTGAATCTACAGACGTTAGAAGAGAATCAACTCTAGCTCCCAGCTATCCAGGCATTTCTATCTGCAGTCTGTACTGGGTTTGCATGGCAAGGTTTTGGTAGCAGTGGGGGCTACAGGGGTGGCTTTAGTGAGAAGCTGCTAGAAGTTTCCCCGATGTCCAACAGAGCCAATACCAGCCTGCTCCGAGATGGAGCCATCGCTGGCCAAGGCCGAGCCTATCAGTGACAGTGGTAGCGCCTCTGGGATAATGTATTTAAGAAGGGGAAAAAATGTGCTGCACAACAGCAGCCATAGAAAGAGTGAGAATATGTGAGAAGAACAACTCTGCAGACACCAAGGTCAGTGAAGGAGGAGGGGAGGAGGTGCTCCAGGCGCTGGAGCAGAGATTCCCCTGCAGCCCCTGGTGCAGCCCCTGGTGGGACAGGCTGTGCCCCTGCATCCATGGAGGTGAGCGGTGGAGCAGAATCCACCTGCAGCCCGTGGAGGACCCCACGCCAGAGCAGGTGGATGTGCCTGAAGGAGGCTGTGACCCCTGGGAAGCCCACGCTGGAGCAGGCTCCTGGCAGGACCTGTGGACCCGTGGGGAGAGGAGCCCACGCTGGAGCAGGTTTGCTGCAGGACTTGTGACCCCGTGGGGGACCCATGCTGGAGCAGCCTGTTCCTGAAGGACTGCACCCCGTGGGAGGGACCCATGCTGGAGGAGTTCATGAAGAACTCAGAAGGACTCGTGCTGGAGAAGTCTGTGGAGAACTGTCTCTCATGGTAGGGATCCCACACTGGAGCAAGGGAAGAGTGTGGAGTCCTCCCCCTGAGGAAGGAGCAACAGAAATAATGGGTAAAGAACTGACCACAAACCCCATTCCCCATCCCCCTGCATCACTCGGGTGCAGGAGGTAGAGAAATCAGGAATGAAGCTAAGCCTGGGAGGAAGGGAGGGGTGGGGGGAAGGTGTCTTAAGATTTAGCTTTTATTTCTCATTATCCTACTCTGATTTGATTGGTAATAAATTAAATTCATATCTCTGAATCAAATCTTTTTTGCCTATTACAGTAACTGCTGAGTGATCTCCCTGTCTTTATCTCGACCCACGAGCCTTTCATTCTATTTTCTCCCCTGTGCAGTTGAGGAGGGGGAGTGATAGAACTGCTTGGTGGGCACCTGGCATCCAGCCAGGGTCAACCCATCACAAGAATTGCAATGAAATAGAGGAGAATTATATGTGCTCATATGGTGGGATGCAGTATATGAAGTAGATGGACTCTAAAATGTCCTCAGTTCCGTAGCCTTACTCTAGCTAATCATCAGCTATGTCCTTTATTGATAAAGTGTGGCAATTGTCTCCTGGCCTCAAGAGCTGAGAAAGAACAAATGAAAATACCCAGCAAATTGGTAAGCTTTACATGGGAAAAAAATAAAGGGGGTGAGGTGGTGAATTTTACACTATTGTCCTCACTTAAACACCAAACAACAATAAATGTAAATGTATTGTACAAATAAAGTTACATTCAAACAACCCTCACAAGAGCAGCTAGTCAATTTATGCTCTATGTTTCAAGTGTCTATTAATGTGTTTCACTGAAGTATATATTCAAAATAATCATTTTACAGAGCAGATGTGCAACTAAAGAATTTGAATGGCTGTATAGACAAGATATTAGAAAAATTCAACACAATTTTCAAGACATTCATATTTCTGGGTTGAATAAACCCAAAGGAAAGAACTCTTAATACATATACTATGATATCATAGAAGAAAATAAACTTCAACACAATGTTTACTTTAGAAAGAAAACAGATCAATAAAATACATGAGGTAATTTAAACCCTGCATTTTTCATAAAAGTCAAGAAATGGATATGTTATAGGTGCATGCTATAAATGCATAGCTAAGTGCTCTTATAAAAATATAAGCACACATATTTCTCAAGCAGCTATTAGAAAATAATCTTTTTTCTTTTTTCTTTTTTTTTTTTTTTTACTTTGATGAGTTATGATACCTTGGGATTCCAATGAGATACAACGCCCTAAGTCATTTCTTGAACCACATTGTGTTTAGAGAACCTAGGTCTAGACTGTACTTTTATCTTAAACAGTTTTAACTATTCAATACTACAGTTTTGCATTTACTTTAAATTATTTATCAAGCATAACTTCTCATTAATTTTCATCCTAGACAAAATAACTCAGATTCTAAAGTTTACAAAAATGGAAATGTGATGCAAAGGAATCTTAACATTTTACTTCCTAAAAGGCATGATTCTACTACATTTACAGTTAGTTACTGTAACGTATTGGGACAAATCCTTATTCATTAGTAACGCAAGTAGAAGTCTCTGAACATGTTTTCCATACTCTCCTAGAGAAAACGTTTATTTTTTCATTTAGCAGAAGGGAAGAAGGTGAGATTCATGTGCTTTTCCACGCAAGGATTGGTTTCTACAAGTTTCTGTTTACGCTATACCCAAATCTATAGTACACACATCTGCAAAATGAGGAGAAAAAAGGACACATGCCTCTCACCCACATTCTAGATGGAGCAATTTAAGAGGTGGTAACCTTGCTCCTAACATATTGGCACAAGCACAGGAAGAAATAGTCTTTATTATCAGTCTTTTCATGTGCTTATCCTCTTTCAGCGTGTCACAACAGTACACTGTTTTCATACAGAATGCCCTATGCGTTTTTGATTTGTAATACAAATATCTTCAAATACTCCAATGCAGAAAGAATAAAATTACTTCCACAAATACAGAGTAAGAAAACGACTCCTGTCTTTTATCTTATACAGGAGACTAGCCAAGTCAGTAGTCCTTGGTCTTTCTGACACCTTTAGTATTATGGTTCCCAAATTGTTCATGATCTTACACTGATCAAAGTATAAAATTCCCCGTGTTGGAATTTTTGATCCTGTTGCTCAGTGATTAACTAGGATGCTGAGGGGTGAAGAATGAATAGACGCACAGCTAGAACTAGTCCTGCTATATTACTTATAATACATTTCCCTATCTTTATAACACAATAAAGGTTTAAAAATAAAACAAAAATATATTTGAGTACAAAAAGGAAGCAAATAAATTTTGAATTTAGCCACATGGATCTTTGTTTAAAACAGCCAGGAAAGAAAGCAGTATTCCTTCCATCACTTAGTACCTGCCCTGTCATTCAATTTGTTTATTTAAATTTAAAATGTAAACCCCTTAAAATTGTTATAATTTGCTAAATTATCAAAACAACACTTAAAGCATTCACAAGTTCATGAAAAATTAAATGGCAAGGTTTTTTTAAGTCTTACCACCAAGAATGCCATAGACAAATGTCCATCTTTTCTTAGCTACTGTAAGATTTTAAACCATTACCTTTCTGATAAACCAACCAGTACTGCTAAGAATCCTACAGTCCTTGACAAAATTATATTTTTAAGAATTATTTAACTTACAGCATCCTGATTAATGTAGTACGTATTGCACAACTGAACCATGTGAAAAATTATCAGTGGCTTAAGAAGAAGAATATAGTCAGCCTATTTTGAAAATCTGTAGGTATCTCCTTTGTTGAAAGTGAAAAACTACAGAAAAACATCACTGTAAACAGAATAAATCCTACTTTCCCTTTTGTAAGAAAAGGGAATCTTTAAAGAGAACTACATTAAGCAGCAGCATGTCATTCAGATGTGGTGTTTTAGTTTTTTCTGCTAGAAATTATCCAGTAAACTCTTCTTAGTTCATGAGTCACGGAGTAGGACATAAACGCATCATTTTAATTGTTTGACTAAACAATTGTCTGAATCTCAGGAAATAAGACACCTAGCAGTGCCATGACAAGTAAACTACATCATGTAGGCCTTTTGGGACAATTTGATTTCCCACTTGTGAAGGTGTACTGGGTCTGGCCAAGCTGGAATTGGTTTTCCCCTATAGCAGCCCTGACAGTGCTGTGTTTTATGCTGGGAGCTGGCAGGGTATTGATAGCACCCTGGTGTTGTGGCTACTGCTGAGCAGTGCTTACACAGCACCAAGGCTCTTTCCGATATTTTTTTCCCCCAGTGGGACGGAGTGGGCAAGATCTTGGGAGGGGACACAACCAGGACACTGACCTGAACTGACCAAAGGGATATTCCAGACCATGTGACGTCTGCTCAGTATAAAGCTGGGAGAAAGGAGGAAGGGGGTGGGGTCACCCTTGGTCCTCCAAGGCAACCACTACCTGAGAAGGTCCGACATCTGCACATGGGAAGGAGAGAATAAATCTGTTTTCTGTTTTTGCTTCCACACATGGACCTTTGCTTCACTTTGCTTATATTAAAACTGCTTTTGTTTTACCCACAAGGGTTGGTCTATCTTATTTTCTTTCCCCTCTTTGCCCTGTTGAGAAAACAAGGGGAAAGGGGGGG